CATAAATAAATGGAAAGACACTTCCTGTTCATAGACTGGAAGACTTACTATTAAAATGTCAATATTACTCAAAGAGATCTACAGATTCAATACTATATCAAAATTCCAATGATGTTTTTTGCAGAAATAGAAAAATATGTCCTAAAAATCATAAGGAATCTTAAGAGACTCCGAATAGCCAAAACAATCTTGAACGAAGAACAAAGTTGAAGGTCACCTACCTTCTGATTTCAAAACGTAATAAAAAGCAAAAGTAATCAAAACTGTGGTACTGGCATAAAGACAGACATATAGATCAGTGGAATAGAATAGAATCCAGAAATAAACTCTTGCATATATGATCAAATGGTTTTTGACAAGGGTTCCAAAACCATTCAATGGGGAAAGGACAATCTTTTCAACAAATGGTGCTGGGAAAACTAAATATCTACATGCAAAAGAATGAAGTTGGGCCCTTACCTTACACCATAAACAAATTTTAACTCAAAATGGATCAAAGAGCTAAACATACCAGCTAAAACTATAAAACTATTAGATGAAAACATAGGGCAATAGCTTAATAACATTGCATATGGCGATGATTTCTTGGATATAATATCAAAAGTACAGGCAATAACCACAACAAAAGAGATAAATTGGACTATATCAAAATTAAAATATCCTGTGCATCAAAGGACACAATTAATATTGAAAAAGCAATCCAGAGAATGGGAGAAAGTATTTTCAAATCATATATCTAATGAGATTGATATATATACTTATATGGAACTATAAGTATATGGAACTATAACTATCCAAAATATACAACTAGAGGCCTGATGCATGAAATTCATGCATGGGAAGGGTCCCCTAGGCCTGGCCAGCGATCAGGGCCAATCTGTGGGGCAACTGGCGGGGTGATTGGGGGGCCCCCACTGGCACCTGCCTTGGCTAGCCTGGTGCTGCCCACTTGCCGGGCCTGTCCCCTGCAGCCGGTTGCCTTCCTCTGCGGGGCAACCGGTGGGGCGATCGGGGTGGGGGCCCCGCTGGCACCTGCCTTGGCTGGCCTGGGGTCTGCGGGCTAGGAGCAGTTCCTGTATTGAGCGTCTACCCCCTGGTGGTCAGTGCGCGTCACAGAGACTGGTTGTTCCACTGTTTGGTCAATTTGCATATTAGCCTTTTATTATATAGGATTATATAGGATTCCTATAACTCAATAACAAAACAAATGCGACCTGATTAAAAAGTCTTGAATAGACATTTATCCACAGATATACATATGACCAATAAGTACAGGGGAAAAAAAACAACAAAAAAACAAAAAAAAAAGTACAGGAAAAGATGTTCAACATCACTAATCAGTAAGGCAATGCAAATGAAAACCACAATGAGATACCACCTCACATCCATTAGGAAGGCTACTACCAGAGAGAGAGAAAGAGAGAGAGGGGAATAAAGAAAGAGAGAAAAAGAAAGGAAAAGAAAAACAGAAAATAAAAAATTTTGGGCAGAATGTAGAGAAATAGAAACCCTTGTGCATTGTTGGTGAGAATGTAAAATAATGTAGCCACAAGGGGAAACAATATGGAAGCTCATCAAAAGTCAAAAATAGAATTGCTATATGATCCAGCAATTCAACTTTTATGTATACCCAAAATAAATGAAAGCAAAATCTTGAAGAGATAATTGTATATCCATGTTCACAACAACCAACATTATTCACAACAGCTAAAAGAGCATCCCAAATGTCCACCAGTAAATGAATGGATAAGCAAAATATGGCATGTACATACTATGGAAAATTAGAAATTCTATCTTAAAAAGAAAGTTAATTCTGAAATATGCTACAACATGCATAAACCTTGAGGACATTATACTAAGTAAAGAGAGCCAATCACAAAAAAGACAAATACTGTATGATTCCACTTATATGAGGTACATGGAGTAGTCAAAATCAGAGACAGAAAGTAGAATAGTGGTTGCCAGGGGCTGGAGGGAGGGTTGGACAGGGAGTTATTGTTTAGTGGATACAAACAAGTGGATGGGAATAGTTTCAGTTTTACATGATGAAAAGAATTATAGAGATGGATGGTTGGTGATGACTACACAATATTATGAATGTATTTAATACCACTAAACTGTACACTTAAGAATGGTTAAGATGGCGGAAACCGGTTTGGCTCAGCGGATAGAGCGTCGGCTTGCGGACTGAAAGGTCCCAGGTTCGATTCCGGTCAAGGGCATGTACCTTGGTTGCGGGCACATCCCCAGTAGGAGATGTGCAGGAGGCAGCTGATCTATATTTCTCTCTCATCGATGTTTCTAACTCTCTATCTCTCTCCCTTCCTCTCTGTAAAAAATCAATAAAATATATTAAAAAAAAAAAAAGAATGGTTAAGATGTTATATTATGTATATTTATTTCATGACAATTTTTCTTAAAGTAAGTATCCTCACTTCTCCCTGTCACCTGCCCCCCCAAAATCGAAAGTAAGAATTTTCTATGATTTCCTAAACATTTAAATTTAAATTTTCTCATATTATTATTTTGGCCATTCTTTCTGTTTCCTCCAAGAAATCAGGAGTTAAAAAAAAAAGTACCATGGAGATTAATAAATAATCAGTATGTGAAACATCTGTTACAATTTTTTTGTAGTAACCCATTGTCTCTAGCTGGGAATTGATAGTACAAATCCTTGCTGCTTCAGAATGAGAGCAACAGCTAACAGAAACATTGCCTATTATGTGCCAGACATTCTTCCAATGCCTTAAATGTATTAAGCTATTCTATATAATAAAAGGTTAATATGCAAATGGACCCTAACGGTGGAACGACCAGTCGCTATGACGCGCACTGACCACCAGGGGGGCAGACGCTCAACATAGGAGCTGCTCCCTGGTGGTCAGTGTGCTCCCACAGGGGAAGCTCTGCTCAGCCACAAGCCGGGCTAATGGCTGCGAGCACAGCAGCGGTAGCGGGAGCCTCACCCGCCTCCTTGGCAGCGCTAAGCCGTCAGTTGGACATCTCCTGAGGGCTCTCGGGCTGTGAGAGGGCGCAGGCCAGGCTGAGGGATGCCCCCCACCACTCAAGTGCATGAATTTTCGTGCACTGGGCCTCTAGTTTAATATAATGAGGTAGCTATTATTATTATCTTTATTTTATAGACTAGAGGCCTGATGCACAAAATTCTTGCACGGGTAGGGTCCCTAGGCCTGGCTGACCATCAGGGCCGATCTGTGGGGCGACCGGCAGGGTGATCAGGGGCCCCCCGCTGGCACCCACCTTGGCCAGCCTGGGGCCTGCAGGTTGGGGGCAGTTCCTGCGTTGAGTGTCTGCCCCCTGGTGGTCAGTGCACGTCCTAGCGACAGGTCATTCCGCTGTTCGGTCGATTTGCATATTAGGCTTTTATTATATAGGATAAGGACCCTGAAACACTATAAAGTTAAATACTTGCACAAGATCACCACCTTTATTCAAGTGGTGGACATGGCTTTCGAATAGTGGTAGTCTAGATGGAGAATTCATGGATTTAACCACTCCATTACATGGCCTCATTCTCAGCTCAGCACTATTCCCATCCACTTGCAATCAATGAAAGATGAAAGTTTTAGATTTAATCCTAAAGACAAAGTATGATGATAAGGCACGATGACAACTTGCCTTCAGCATAGTACATACTAGTTAATTAGACTTAATCCAATTACAAAGCCTGGTCTATCAGTAAACCACCCACTCTGCCCCCAACATATACACCTGGTTCTTCCTTTATATTCCCAGATAAAATGATACACTACAAAATCCCTTAAAACCAGGACTGTATATGATTCATTTTTATTCATAAGGACTGGCACATAATAAGTGCCCCCCAAAACATTTCTTGAACAATTATCTCCAAGTACACTGGGACTTACAAGAATATTTCTGGGTTCATTTTTCAGAACCCATTAATTAATGAGTCCATTATCATGAGATTTTACCAAACTAAATATACCATGGGAAAGTTCTAACATAGACCCACATATTGTACTTCAGATTCAGGTGGATTATGTTTTAATGGAACTCCAGTATAATGTTAAAACTATAAAGTAGTATAGAATTAAACCTATGATTGTAAGAAACAAATACAATATGAAGCATTTCCCACCCATGACAAAAATGTATTACAGTAAAGTTACAGAATTAAATAGATATATTAAAGCTTAATATCAGACCTTGAGTTTAGCTTCAATAGAACATTCCTTTATATGGAATACACTTTAACACAATCACCAATATTCATATACTCATACTAACCACGACTGCTGTATTATCTGCTCACTAACTGCATTTCATATAAATCTTTAAACTCTTATTTCATTACACTGTAATGATCTGTTCATATGACTCTATCAGACTGCAGGTTCTTTGAAGGCAAACTGTCATTTGCCTTAGTATCTAAGTCAGGGGTCATCAAACTTTTTAAACAGGGGGCCAGTTCACTGTCCCTCAGACCGTTGGAGGGCCGGACTATAGTTAAAAAAAAAACTATGAACAAATTCCTATGCACACTGCACATATCTTATTTTGAAGTAAAAAAACAAAACGGGAACAAATACAATATTTGTATTTGCATGTGGCCCGCGGGCCGTAGTTTGAGGACCCCTGATCTAAGTATTGGTATCAAATAGATTCCCAAAGATTTCTCAAATGAATTAATTAAGTTTAGAGGTTATGTAACTTCGCTGAGATCAGAGAGCATGTAGATTAATTAAATCAGAATTCAAATCCAGATATTCAGTTAAAAAATTCTATGCTCTTTCCATACATATTACTACAAGTAACTATTAAACTGTGCAAAAGCTACATACTGTAGTAGTTGTCTGTAGGTGAAAAGCTACAACTTAACCACAAAAATGAATCACAAAAAATTATAATAGCAAAGATACCTTAAAAATGAGATCTTTGAACTGTCAGACAAAATTAGTTATTATTACAGTCTCAGTACAATGCTTTTGTGGTAAGTATTGAAGAAAATATGTTACCTTGTACTTCTTTATCGTGACACTCCTTTAGTTTTGTCCACAGATCCTTAAAGTCATTAGATATCTCTGCAGAACTAGGGCTTCCACAACTGCTTCCAGAGACGTTCATCTTGCTTGAATATGCTCCACAGTTCTATTTGCCTAATGTCTTTTTTGACTTTTTCTGTTACATTATACAGGTATGAAGTTGTCTTTGGACAGCTGAAATACCTGAAATGACAGATTACAACATAAATAAATCCTGCATTTACCTTTATGTAATTTGAGTCCAGCCAGTTTTCCTAATTGACTTACAATCAATAACGTTGAGAATTTGGGGGAGGAGGGGTGTGAAGAAAGATGATTATGGTGAAAAAAGCCCTGATTTTAATAATCTGGATTTTAGTTAAGCTAAATTTTCAGGCAAATTTTCTCTTATTCCTCCTAGAAAAAAGTAATTACCTAGATTATGTTAAAATGAAAGGATACTAATATAGAGATCAATATTGATACACCATTCTAAAAGAATTTGCTTTTTAAACTTTTAAATTGATATAGAATGCAACAATATATTGAACCAAAAACGGTACAGAAAACTACAGGACATTGAAAAAAGAGATAGAGGAAGACATAAACAGATGGGAGAACATACCGTGTTCATGGATTGGTAGAATCAACATCATTAAAATGTCCATACTACCCAAAGCAATCTATAAATTCAACGCACTTCCCATGAAAATACCAATGGCATATTTCACAGACCTAGAACGAAATCTCCAAAAATTCATCTGGAATAAAAAGACCCCGAATAGCTGCAGCAATCCTGAGAAAGAACAAAGTAGGTGGGATCTCAATACCAGATATCAAACTGTATTACAAAGCCACTGTTCTCAAAATTGCCTGGTACTGGCACAAGAACAGACATATAGATCAATGGAATAGAATAGAGAGCCCAGAAATCGGCACGAACCGATATGTTCAATTAATATTTGACAAAGGAGGCAAGAACATACAGTGGGGTCAAGATAGTCTCTTCAATAAACGGTGTTGGGAAAATTGGACAGATACATGCAAGAAAATGAAACTAGACCACCAACTTACACCATACACAAAAATAAACTCAAAATGGATAAAGGACTTAAATGTACGACAGGAAACCATAAAAATTCTAGAAGAATCCAAAGGCAACAAAATCTCAGACATATGCCGAAGCAATTTCTTCACTGATACAGCTCCTAGGGCACTTGAAACTAAAGAGAAAATGAACAAATGGGACTACATCAAAATAAAAAGCTTCTGCACAGCAAAAGAAACCATCAACAAAACAACAAGAAAGCCCACTGCATGGGAAAACATATTTGCCAATGTCATATCTGATAAGGGCCTAATCTCCAAAATTTATAGGGAACTCATACAACTTAACAAACGGAAGATAAACAATCCAATCAAAAAATGGGCAAAGGATCTAAATAGACACCTTTCAAAAGAGGACATTCAGAAAGCCAAGAGACATATGAAAACATGCTCAAAGTCACTAATCGTCTGAGAGATGCAAATCAAAACAACAATGAGGTACCATCTCACACCTGTCAGAATGGCTATCATCAACAAATCAACAAACGACAAGTGCTGGAGAGGATGTGGAGAAAAAGGAACACTCGTGCACTGCTGGTGGGAATGCAGACTGGTGCAGCCACTATGGAAGACAGTATGGAGTTTCCTCAAAAACTAAAATGGAACTCCCATTTGACCCTGTGATCCCACTTC